GCTTGTCAGAGGAAGTGAGGGTAGAGTGGCACCTGAAGGAGGACAAGGAGGCAGCCCAGAAGCGCCAGGGAAACGGATTACCACTCACGGGAATGGCAAGTGTGAAAGCCGTGTGTTTGGAGCACACATAGGATGAAAGTCGTGCCCAGTGAAGTTGGTGAATACATGAGCCACTTATAAGCCACGGTGAGGAGCTTGGATCCTACTCTTGAGCACAAAAAGAAGCCACTGAACCGTTTTCAGGAGGGGAACCACAAAGTCTGATTTACATTCTTAAACGTTCTCAGGACACTTCTGATTAAGAGTATAGCTTTATGCCGCATCACAGAATTTTCTGCCCCCAATATCTAATAAAATAAACAAAAACTTTACAAAATCAGAGGCATATATTCTTACTAAATATCAAATTAAGAGAGGCCACAAACTAATTCAAGAGCTGGTGGCCAAGGAGAGAAAAAGAAGGTTCCAGGAGAAAAGCAGAGAAACACACCTGTACTTGTAAGAAGACAAAGATCTGGAATTCTTATTATTGTCCTTAAATCTAGACAGTGTTGCTTTATCCTGTTGAACCTTCTAACCAGGAAGTAGTGGGAATGAGTGAAAGGCGAGGAGAGAGGGGCTGAGTCCTAATGGCGGTACAGTTTCAGAGCCAGATTCAGAATTGAGAGCTGGACCCAGTTCTTGAGTTTTCTAACGCAACTGGTCAGGCCCAAGAGGAGACAGCAAAGGGGACTGGGAGGGAGCAAGCAGAGAACTTGGTGAAGCATGAAAGAATATGGTATCATGGAAGCCAGAAGAAGAGAGTAGTATGAGAAGAATGGAGTCCTCAGCTATAGGAGTTGCTTCTGAGTGACCAAGTAAAATGAAGACAAAGAAGTGTCTCCTGGCATTGGCAAAATAGAGATTGTTTGTAACTTGACAAGCAGTTTCAATGGAAGAATGATAAGAATGGAGGCGAGATTGAATTTGATTGAAGATTTGTAGTGTTCAGTAGTTAAAAATAGTTTAAAAATAGTTAAAAAAAGAAACTAGTTGATTAGGAAAAATATTATCATCCCAAATGCTGAGACCAAAGGGAATATTTAGAACCTCTTAGACCCAACATGGGTGATTGTGTACAACATCCTCAACAATATCTCTGCAGTAAACACAACAAGTTTCATAGACTTGCCCCTTAATACTGGCTATCAGAGATGTTACAGAGGCATTTCTTCATTGGGTGAAAACTTGGCCTAACTGGTTATTTTACTGGAAAATAGCTATTCCCTATAATCATTCCATATAATAACCATAGTGGTTATTGAAATGGGCTAATGTCCTGTCCAATTATAAGAGTCTATTAATAATGGCACATCCCTTTCCTGGGAGAGGGCTAGGTTTGCTTTAAGAAGTCATCTTGTGGTGGCCATAATCTAAAATATGAAAAAAATAAAAAATAAAAATAAAATAAAATATGAACTAAGTTAAGCATTTATCATCTACAGAAACTGAAGAGAATATGAGAATGTCAATTAATGTTGAGCAAGAGGAGGGCTGAATCAGAGAGAGGACCCATTAAAGGCCAAAAAGCCTGAATTTACATATTTCAGTAAAGTTTGCAAAGAGAGTCAAGACCTATTGGAGAAAAAGCAGTCTTCAGAGGCGCTAGAGAATTGGCAGATCTGGGCACTTTGGGCACATAGTCTGCAAGTTTGGTTCAGTTATTTCTAATACAGAAGCTGAGCTCTGATTGGTGACCTCCACTCCCCAAGGAGCGGAAGGGCTCTGGCGGACTTACTTGTGAGCCAGTTTTATAGACCATGGCTTCTCACATATCCCAGGAACAATATTCTACTCTCTATTCACCTTATTAACTAGTTAATAGAAAAAAATCACATTAACAATTTAAGATTTTAATGTCATTTTCAGAGTTACACCAACTGTCTAACTCTACTCACATATTATAGCCTAGTAGTTAAGAGTGCAGTCTATGAGGACAGAGGGGGGTCTTCAGCCCTCAATGGCTCTGGACCCTGGGCAAGTTAACCTCCTCGATCCCCGCTTCCCTCGTCTATAAAATGGAGGGTCGTAATAGTATATACTTCACAGGGCCACTGGGAAGGGTAAATCTTACAGTGCCTGGGAGTTTTAGAAGAACTGAAAATATGGCAGACAAAATCATGGTTTGAGACTTTTCCCCTGAAACTGGGGAGGAGAGCAAAGGCCGTTAAGTAACTTGCATTCCTAACTCAGAACTTCCAGGTGGGGCCAGTTGCTTTCCCATCCAGTTGACACTGCAACTCCCTCCCTCCCCCATAACAAAGTGGATTTGAAGGGAGAGCAGTGATTGTGAAGAGAACTATTCCAGCGGGTCCCTGTCCCAATGATGAAAGAGAGAAGCCCCATGAGGGTTGGAAAGTTTGAGGGAGTGTAGAGGACCAACGTCCTGTAGCTCAGGAGACATGGCATTAGTCACCAGGTTTGTTAACTTACCTTGGAACTACCACAGAAAAGGAAAAGGCATTGGAGGGTGATAGTGCAGTGGGATGGCCGCGCGGAGAGGGGTGTGCATACTCCTCTTTACTTCCAGATGCCGGATGAGTGGCGATTATTGTCTAGAAAATCATCTTCCTTTTCCTAGCTGGTCTTTTGTTTCTTGTTATGGGCTTTCGTGTTCACATTATCTATTTTGAAAAGATTCCTGTTTGTTCTCTCCCCACGTAATCCTAGTAATAGAGCATAAAATGCCTAGGATATGAATGGGAACATATGTGCTTGTTTGCTTCCTTGCTGCTTTATCACAAAGATTTCCAAAAGAGCACACTTTTAATAATTTACATGTTTCTCTCTATATAATTGTAATAGAGATCCTTTGTACGCATAGAAACTATGAAAAAAAAAGAAAGGGGCGCTTGGGTGGCTCAGTCGTTAAGTGTCTGCCTTCGGTTCAGGTCATGATCCCAGGGTCATGCTTCCCCCCTCACACTCCCCTTGCTTGTGTTCCCTCTCTCGCTGTCTCTCTCTCTCTCTGTCAAATAAATAAATAAATAAAATCTTTAAAAAAAAATTATAGTAAAGATTTACAAAAAGAAGGAAATCCATCTTGATACTCAAAGCAGGAGAGACAGAAACCAGATATTTTTGTGATTTCTGAAAACAGAAAGCAGATGGGACAGATAGAGCAGGGCCGAAGTTCCACCTCAAAACCCACAAAGGAGGGAGATGTTTTTCCAGGCAGAGCTTCAGAGGCCCCAAATGCAGTGTGGGCAGACATGGGGGAAAGGAGTGAGCTGTGAGTAACAAAGGACTCCTCCTTTCTCGTGACCTTCACACTCAGTTTTAGTCACCTACCCCCAGAGCCACATCATGTGATCACCAAAACTGCTCCAAAGTGAAATCACTCATAGAGTCAAATGACACATCCAGAAAGGACACAGAACCTGGAGAATTTATAGGGAAGATCTGTGTCAAATTTTAATATTGAGAAAAAAGTGGGGATAATTTTCCAACCTCAAAAATGTCCAACCCCAGATTGATCAAATAAATTATGACACATCTATGTAATGAGATTCTATGCACCCAATTAATGTTGCTGGACTAACTGTTTAATTATGTAGACGAGTATAGTTGGATCTACTCCATATCACATAGCATACATACGCATACATAACTGTATACATATACACCTAAAGAGTTAAGTAGAGAAAGACAGACTGAAAGAAATAAAAGAATTGGGAAATACAAAATCTTGAGTTGGAAAGCCCTTTTTAAGCATAATGCCAAAGGTAAAAATCATTAAGGGAAATATTTATAAAATTGACATGAAATATTCTAAAAATATGAAAGAAAGTTAGCAAAAATGCAAATGATTAATCAAGAGGAATAGTTGTGGTGAACGTGGCAGGTCAATATCCTAAAGATATGACAAGTTCCCACAAATCAATTTTTAAAACCGTAAATGCTCCCAGTCAAAAAAGAAGGCTGAGAACATGAATGGAACATTTATTGAGGGAAACATGTAAATAGCCAAAGAAATATAAATTTTAAAAAAATTAGATATCAATTAAATATTATTTTAGAAAAAAAAAGGTTTTTTAAGATTTTATTGATTTATTTGACAGAGAGAGACACAGCGAGAGAGGGAACACAAGCAGGGGGAGTGGGAGAGGGAGGAGAAGCAGGCCTCCCGCCGAACAGGGAGCCCGATGCGGGGCTCGATCCCAGGACCCTGGGATCATGACCTGAGCCGAAGGCAGGCGCCTAACGACTGAGCCACCCAGGCGCCC